GCACTTTGGAGGGCTACAAACCATTATAATATCTAAGTATTTTCTTTTACCTACAAGAACCAATTTTTATACCCAGGAGGGTGATACTGCCTCCATTGAGAATACGTGGTTCAATGCAGTGATTCTCAACTGACAGCAATTTTGTTCCCCAGGGGACATTTATTTGGCAGTATCTGGAGATGTTTTTAGTTGGCCACAACAAGAGGAAGGGGTCAAAACCTCAGCTTCTTGGTGGGTGGGGTTGCTACTAGTATCTTGTGGGTGAAAGCTGGAGACTCTGTTAAACATCTTGCAGTGCACCGTACGGGTCACCACAACAGAGAATTATCTGACCTGAAATGTCAATGCTGCTGAGTTTACGAAACCCTGCTCCAACATGATAGTAAGATTCAGATGCACTCTGAGTAACCCAGAAATTATTAAGGAAGGTGAAGGTGGACCATGTCAACTCAAAAGGCTACAAGCTAAAGAGAATAGCAGAAGCGAGGTTCCCGACTTTCAGGTTGATCCTGTGTACAACATGGTGTGCTTATCTGAAAAAAAAGACCATCTTTGTCTTCTTAAGTATTGTTGCTATTTTTCAATAATATCATGCTTTTTGTTCTTTCTGTTAAATATGTGTAAAAATATATGTAAACACTTTAAATATGTGTAACATTTAAGCAGCAATTTCTTTTTTTCTATTTTTGGTATCTTGCTTTATAAACAGATGAATTTCCGAAAAAAATATGTAAATTTGTTTTCTATGAGGTATATTTCATCCTCTGATTTTATTACATTATATTTTGAGAGGCTCATCCTCATTCCTGATCAATCCTCATTTGATCTGGCTCCTGATATTGCTGCTTTAAATTTAAATTTAGTGGCCTCTCAGCCTCTCTGGGTTTTAGAGGATGGGGACAGTTTAAGAGAGGATATGGATTTATATTGAAAGTGAGAAATATTCTCTTATGGACATGGTCCAGATCATTTGCCCAGAGCTCCTGGCTCTCCTGTTGTCCCTGTCACACTCACATTCCCTTCTTCTGCTGCCCAGAGTTGGCGTTGAGGAGCCCTCCGAAGAGGACCAGAATGAACACCACTGGCAGTACTTCAGGTGACACAAGGGCATCCTCAGAAAAAATTAACCAGGCCTGGCTTTTCTCCTCTTTCTAACCTCAGATATTTCTCTTTACACTGTTTTTCTCTTCCTTCCTACGTGTGCCAACCCCCACCCCTTTTAGTAAAGGTGCAAAAGGTTGAGTCAATTCTAATCATTTTTTCCACCCCTCCTCTGGGTTGATTGATGTGTCAGTGTTCTTGGGATTCTGTTTGCTTTCCCCATATTTAGGCAGTGTATTGCTAACACAAAGCCTGAGTTGTCAAGTGTTTCCTTTTTGTACAACTGAGCTTAGTGTTAAGAGCAGCTCATTTTCAGAGCCACACTTTCCCCACAAAATCCTGCTTATGATCTAGTAAATAAGGCTCTTAATTCATAAAGAGAACTAGAATTTTCATATTTCAACCATGACTGGGGTAAGGCTTACACCATCTTAATTAAATATCACTGCTGTTTTAGTTTTTCAGAATACATATTTGTGTACTTGTGCCTTGTCGTGGTGAACCAGAAGGTATGAATAATGTTTAATCAAAAAGATAAAGAGTCCTCTAATGCAGTTTGTTTCTTAGTATCCTTCCAAGTTTATGATATAACTATGCTTAAGGGTGGTGGTGTCTGGGCAAGCAAAGTACAAACTTTAATGTTTCTTCTTTCCTTTCTGTTTCTCTAATTGGCATGTTTTCTTCCTGATCTGATTCTCGGTGCTGATAGATAAATCAAATGCAAAATAGGCTTCAGCTCTGTTCTCAGCACTGTAAGAATATTTCACTTCCTTGAGGGCAGTGGTGAAAGCAGTGGGACATGGGTCTTGGGATATCACCAGGCCCCATATGTGCACTGTAATGACTCACATGAAATTACTTAAGTATTTAAGCTCACTGAAGTCAGACTTTTTTCTACACACACACGTTCATTTGTAGAGACTGACTTTGATACCAGCTAAATTGCAGAGGAAACCCTTTCCTTTGAAGCATGCCTTCAAGAAGGAAAGTCCTTCAGGCAAAGTGTAAGTTATTAGACTTGGGACATGAGCAAATTCAGGTTATGATATGGTGGTCAAGTTATATGAAGATGTGTGTCTCATATTCCTCAAATTATTCAAAACCTTGACCATTCAGGGATTTTTTTTTTAGAAAAAATTATTAATTAAAATAGAATACTTCTAAACTTTCCAAGATTTTATGGCGTTTTATCTGTTAATCAGAATGGACAAATTATACCAGTAGAGAAATTATCAATTTTGGGTATTTATTCATTCCAGAATGAGCACATCAGTTTGCTTGCTTTATTTTTTCATTTAGTGTGGGATGTCCACATTTGTCTACTTCCTAATGAAAATAAAGATAATTCTGCCCATTCTGGAAAAAAAGGTTGTCATTTGTGTTCTTATGAACTTAGCCCTGATATATCAGGGGAATGCTAAAATAAGATCTAATAAAACAGCATAAAAAAGTTCCGGTGTCCTGGATCAAAAGCATTATACCAGATCAGGAAAGAGATACATAAAGTGGACAGTGACCTGACACTAGGAATTTCAGAAAGTTGGGGGACCCTAAAGTCTTCTGAGGCTTTAAACCTACAATTAAAATCCTGTGCCTGGGCCAGGCGTGGTGGCTCACGCCTGTAATCCCAGCACTTCGGGAGGCCAAGGTGGGCAGATCACCTGAAGTCAGGAGTTCGAGACCAGCCTGGCCAACATGGTGAAACACCGTCTCTACTGAAAATACAAAAATTAGCCAGGCGTGGTGGCGTATGCCTATAGTCCCAGCTGCTCGGGAGGCTGAGGCAGGAGAATGGCTTGAATCCAGGAGACAGAGGTTGCAGTGAGCCAAGATCGCACCACTGCACTCTAGCCTGGGTGACAGAGCGAGACTCCGTCTCAAAAAAATTCTCAAAAACAAAAAAAAGAATCCTGTGCCTGTTCTTTCTTGCTGCCCGGTTCCACACCAAAACACCCTGGCCCATTCGTTTACCTCCTCTTCCCAGAGACCGGTTTGGTTCTGGGCTCTGCCCCAAGGGTGGGGCTTTTTGTAGGAAGCCACAAGGTCCCGTGTCATCCTTGGGGATTGGTCCAAGAGGCCTCAACCCTGCCAGAAAAGTAATTGCTAAATCGCCCTGAAGTAAACAGCCTTGAAAAGGCGAAAAAAGTACAGAATATTATTTGTGTCTCACGGCCCCGATCTGTTTTGTTTTTTTTTTTTTTTTTTTAGCAGTAGCAAGCTGAGAAGCAGCTCTTTGTTTCCTTTCTTAGAAATCTCCTGTTCTGCACTTATATCAGTAGCAAGGCCTTCCAAGAGACTCCAAGGGCCTTCCCACACTCCTCTGTCTGTGGCAGGGCCCAGAAGGTCCTTTTAGGTTTTCTGCTGTCAGGAGTTTGGGCTGCATTTCAGACTTGGTTGATACCAAGTGGCTGCAGTGAAGATTGGAAATTCCATGGCAGATGTAGGATTTTCCTGGCATCTTTTTTCTCTGCCCCATTGCCGAGTGTTATCCATGTCATCCATGGCACAGTTTCCTGCCTCAGAATGAGGAAGGTGCAAGGATAAAAAAAAAAAAATTACCAGATGCATAGAGTGCCAGTTAGTATGTTACTAAGCCAAGACAACTGCCCTGGTGCTTTTATAGTTTTTGTTATAAATCAAGTCTTGCCATTTTGCTTTTTGTTTCTATCTTTAGTTGTTGCTCTCAAATGTGTGAGTTCTCAAGGCTATCTTGATGCAAGAGGGTATAGGGGCACCAGGATTGAAAGCAGGTCAGGACTCTAGTTAATGATATTGTTAAAGAAAATGTTATTCTGATGTATATTAAAACAGTAAGGCAGATGTTGTTCAGGACCATCACGATTGGTATAGGGACCACTGTGATGGGGTTTTGCAGCAGGAGAGAGGAACAGGGGCCAGTGGATGGAGAAGTACTGAGAGGAAACATCAGGGGCAAGGGGGATTCTGGCTAAACTGACCCAACAGGATTCTTGCTGAAGACAGGCGAAGGGGATTAGACATCACCTGGGGGATTGTGGGGAAATGAAGAACCCAATCAGATGTTGGGGATAGGCCATTCAGATGTTGGGCTCTGGCCAAACCAACTTAGACAATCAGACATCACCTGAGGGATTGTGGGGGGATGAAGAACCCAATCAGATGTTGGGTTCTGGCCAAACCAACTTAGCAAGCCTCTTGCTAAGATTGGGTTATGCTGAGATGGACATGGAAGCCCAAAAGTCAGTGCCTAGTTGGGAAGTGAATTCCTAGGAGCCTGACGAAAGTTTGGTCAAGGAGGGACACTTTGTCAATAATGCATGTGAAGTATTTAGGGGAAGTATTCTGATATCTGCAACTTTATCTGAATGCATCCAAAGAAAAAGTAAGATGGGTGATAGAGAAATGGATAGATAGGTAATAAGGAATATACAATAAAATGTTGATGATAGAATCTAGTGATGGTGGGTATATAGGAGTTCACGCTAAAGCCTTTCAACATCTCCCTGTATATTTGAAAAAGTTGATAACAAAATGTTAGGGAAATTAAAGCAGACCAGGGCAGAAGTGAGGAAGCAGCACAGAGGAAGGGCCTAGTGCAGTGAGACCCACATTTTGATAACTGGGACCACCTGGTGCAGAAAAGCAAGTGGACAGTTGCCAGCATGTGTTGTGTTCCGGAGGCCTTGCTTAGAGTGGAAGCACATGGGATTCATTGCCCCTCTGACTCTCTGGGATCTGAAGTGGTATGCGACCTCTTTCTCATGACTTCTGCATGCTAGCCTTCCTCACCTTTTAGCTAACCACTCCTTATGCTTCGGGAAGATGGTCAGCCTCCGGGTTACTTACAGCCTGCATGGCTACCATGGGCCGAGATAATACTCTCTGTTTTTCTCTTTGTCTTTCTCCCTGGTGACTTTCAGAGTTGGTGTTGACCCCGATCAAGACCCACCACCCAACAATGACAGCTTTCAAGTCTTACAAGGGGTAAGTCACAAGAGATGCTTCTTCCCGGGGAAGACATTGGAGCATTCGCCACATGCCAGGCACTTTACCTAGATTCCCTCATTGTGATCCTGACAACAGCCTTATGAAGTATGTACTGCTCTCCCCATTTTGCAGATTAAAAGCTGAAGTTTGGGAGTTTGAGTCATCTCAGAGTAAGTGATGGAGCCAGGATTTGTCCCCAGGGTATGTGTTCTTAATCAACGTTATGAAAGGTGTGAGCTCGCCAGAAAGAGTCCTGACTCCTCACTTTTCAATAGTGGATATTGGTTCTACAACTGGTTCTGAGTCTATCAGTGGTGCCCAGGAGAAAGAGAGCAATACGATTTGACTCTCCAGCCCAGGGATCTGAGGAAGGAGAGACATCAGGTGCCTGAAGGCATTCCTGTTCCTCCAGGGCCTGGGATCCTCTAGGTGAGGAATTTGGAAAGGGCATAGTAGGGACGGCTTGCCTTTGCTCCATGAAGTCCAGGGTCTCAGGTGGGAAAACCAGGAGCTTGGGGCTGGAATCATGCAAAGGTTCATTTACTCATATGTCTGGCACCTGGGCTGGAAGGACCCAACCACAAGGACCTCTGACAGGAATGTCTGTGCAGGGCTTTTCCATGTGGCCTGAGCTGCCTGCCAGCATGGTGGCTGCTGGGTAGTTGGATTTCTTATATCATGGCTCAGGGTTCCAAAAGCAAGTGTCCCAGCAAGCAAAGTAGAGGCTATATCACCTTTTCTGAACGAATCTTAGAAGTTCTACAGCATCACTTCCATGGCTTTCTATTGCTTAGAAATGCATTCCTAAGACCAGCCCAGATCCAATGGGAGGGGATAGAGACCATAACCTCTGGATGGGAAGAGTATCAACAAATTTGCAGACAAGATTTGAGGTTGCCGTATCATCCCTGTTGTGCAGCTGTTGGGATGATTTTGTCTCTAGGTTTGGCTCTTTACCCAGGTCAGCATGACCTGGGCAGGCAAGGTGGGGAAAGGAGAGTTGTGATAGGGGCAGAAATGTGTTACCAATATATTATTTGACCTTGGGAGTCAATAACTATGTCATTCAGCATTGAATGCCCAGTGCTGAGCACAGTGGCTGGCACATACGGGAACCAGATAGGTGTTTGTTGGGTGGATGAGGGAATGAGAGGTGCAATGTGCAACAGGCAGCTTTACTGACCACATGTGTATGTTGTCCATGAAACCCTATTCTTTTTTTTCCAGTCGGTTTTGAATCTGACTCATCATTGCACTTAATCCTAAATCCAGTCTGCAGCAGACTTCAGATTCCATAGGATCTTCTAAATGATTCCATCTACCAAATCAGATTTAATAAGGCTGGCAAAATGTGGTGCTGTGTGGAGGTCAATGGGGTGCCACTGTAGCCTTTTGTGGTTTCTTTCTCTTTAAAGGTGGCCACAGCCTGATAAGGCATTTATAGCATTGATGTCCGTTCTAGGTCCCTGCTCAAGGGACACAAAGCCATGACCTGGAAAGTTCTGGACACTTTGGGAAGAGTTTTCAATAAGCTTCATTGGAGATTTGGCGCCCACTTTAATGAGCTCCAGAAGACCTTTGAGATGATCTTAGACTTGGCCATTATGTCAATTGGGAACATGTGGTCTCAATGAGAAGTTCTCTGAAAATTTGCTGTTTGACTCTAGCTTTGATTAAGGACTTTAGAAAACAGGAGTTCAGGAACTGAGCACCTTGAAGCTAATTTAGAGTATAACAGTTTGGGAGATCTTGAAACGCATCCTGAGAAAAACCCAGGGGAAAACATGATGGCCGTCCTTATTTCACCAAAGGGAAGATAACGGCTCTGGTAGGACATGGCTGCCCTATTCTAAAGCATCCTCCACAGAACTGTGGCCAGTTTACATTAATTTTGTAAGAAAAAAAGGCCAATAGCAGCTGGATCGTAAGATTTGGAGAGGTTTCATCTTGCTCCGGACCATTCAAAACATCCCCACCCGCTTTGCTGTTTCCCATTGCTCCTTCTACAGGAAACAAGTGAAAGGATTTGGCTGGTCATGTAGTAGAACTTACTATGTATCACATAAGCCCCGCACATTGGGAACACTGGGCTTGTAATTAGATTCAGTAAGAAGCTTACTGTCACTTTTCTGTGGAAATGTTTGAATGAGAAAGCAGCAGGTCCAAAGTGCTGAGGGTTCTTGTATTTAGTCCATGCAGTGACAGCTAAAATAGCCCCCGCCCCTAGGTGGAGTGAGTCTCAGGAACCTCCCTGGATGGGCCTGGATGGATGAACTCAGTGTTCCTGTCAGCTCCCAGAGGGCCCCTTGGGCTGAGAGCACTGCACATGTGGTGTTGTCAACGAGCTGGCAGCCACTCATTCTGCACTCCTAATGGCACCCTGTTTGCCACAGCCCTAGCCAGAAGCTGTGTCACAGCTTCCCCAGACCTCCTTCCTTCCAAACCTCACACATGGTCATGCAGAGGGCCCCTCAAAGTCAGTTCCACTGACCTTTTGAAAGGTTTTCAAGATTGTTGTCATATGGGGAAAAACATGCAAACTTCAGGCTTGGTTCTCCAGGACACCCTCTTAGAAATGACTCACGCCCTTGTGCAGAGAGGACCTTATTTCTCCAGTTCCTCCTGGTCTGACCCCCTCATTCTAGTGAGCCACTAACAGCAGGGTTCGGTGCACTCTGTGGTCATGAGAAACAGGAAAACAGAAATAAATGGGCTTCTCATTTTTGGGTGAAACCCTGGGTTCTTGCAGTTTCCCCTGAAATAGATCCAGGTCACATGCTCAGTGTTGTCATGAAACTGAACTCAGAGGTAGGGAAAGTCCAGATGTTTGTTCTCTACCAGAGAAAAAAAGGGCAGTTCTCTTTACCTCATTTTCTAAATAATCGTCCTAAAAACAACAAACAAAAAAGTGACATTTGACGGGAAGGCATGTCTTATAATGAGCACAATTCTCCTCGCTGGTCTTGAAGCCCAAGGCTATAAACAGAGTCATGGCTAGGGAGCTACAGAATATTAGCTCATGTGGGAAAAGGAAGGGAGCTGTTGGCTAGAACTTTGCTTCATGTGGGGAAAGCATAAAAATATTGTGGGCAGACTTCAGCTTTGTGTCCCTGGCAAGTTTGACTCATTAGAACAAAACAAGACCAAAAAAACTCAGTTGCTTTGTTTCTCTGGAGGTCTTGGTGACTTTGCAACCAAAACAAAAACAACCCCAGCTGGAGGCAAGCTGCCCAGCCCTGGGGGTGGCCTCCCACCCCATTAAACAGGAGGACTTTTCACGCCAGACCAGACAGCTGAGATTTCTGTTGGCGGCACATGCAGACACATCATTCACTTCCTTCCCTGAGTTTACAGAAGAGCACTCATTGATGAGGCCACTTTGGAGCAGCTGAGAGTGTGAATCTGAATTTATCCCAGTTTTACCATATCAACAGGACAAGGTCACAAGCCAGATATTAATGGAGTGTGGAGGAAGGGAAACCACCAGTGCCTGTGTATATGTACACATATGTGTGTGTGTCTGTGTGTATGTAGTGAAAACTGTAGAAAATCAGCAGTTTATAGTTGCGTTCATATATGACTTTCTGAGCAAGTTAGAATCATTTGTTTCTGGGTTCTCCTCGTTTTTTTGTTTTTGTTTTTGTTTTTGTTTTTGTTTTTGTTTCTCCAGGCTGAAATCTGACACCTGTAAATCTGTCACCTAAACCTTTAACTTCAAACAGTTGCAGAGGTGCCTTTCCTCCAATTGCTACTCTGTGACCGCCCCCATCTCCATTTTTTTTTGTGCTTCCAAATGCCTCCCTTGGCCCCTGATTTCCCTTTCTGCTCTTCCTTTTCTGTTTTCTAAAAACTCAGAGTCAAGATCAGTTTATTCATTTATTTGACAAATAGTTATTGAGCACCTGTTCTGTTTCAGACATACTTTCAGGTTCTGGGAAAATATCTGCAACAAGATAGATGAATCTGCATCCTGAAGGGCTTGATGACAAGGTGATAAAGGGCGAGGGTGGAGAGTGGCAGAAGCAAGATAGTGGAGACACTCAGGCCTCACCAGCCCCACTGAAGCAGAATCTGCATTTTAACAGTGTCTCCAGGGAATGTGTACATTTTACCATTAGAAAAGCCCCGATATAGGCAATGCATAGCTCTGGAGAGTTTTAAGCAGGGAAGAAAACTATCTGTGTATCATGGTCAGAGACTTGACTCCGGTTTTTTTTCGTTTTGTTTTGAGACAGGGTTTCCCTCTGATGCCAAGGCTGGAGTGCAGTGGTGCAATCACAGCTCACTGCAGCCTTGACCTCTTGGGCCCAAGGGATCCTCCTCCCTCAGCCTCCTGAGTAGCTAGGACCACAGGAGTGTGCCACTTCACCAATTTAATTTATAAAATATTTTTGTAGACACAGGATCTTGCTTTGTTGTGCAGGCTGGTCTCAAACTCCTGGGCCAAGTGATCTTAACCCTCCCAAAATGCAGGGATTACAGGCATGAGCCCACTGTACCTGGCTGATTCCGTTTCTAAACCCTCTTATTACCCTCTGCTGAGAAATATTGGTCCCATTATCCCAATGATATAACAAAGGCCCTGTATTAGTCCATTCCCACACTTCTATAAAGAACTACCTGAGACTGGGTAATTTATGAAGAAAAGGTTTAATTGACTCATAGTTCTGCAAGCTGTACAGGAAGCATAGCTAGGAGGCCTCAGGAAACTTACAATCATAGCGAAGGCAAAGGGGAAACAAACACGTCTTACCATAGCGGAGCAGGAGAGAGAGAGAACAAGGGGGAAGTGCCACACATTTTTAACCAGATCTCGTGAGAACTCACTCACTATCACAAGAACAGCAAGGGGAAAGTCTGCCCCATGATCCAGCCACCTCTTACCAGGCCCCACCTCTAACACTTAGGATCACAACTTGAGATGAGACTTATGGGGGAGGACACAGAGCCAAAACATATCAGGCTCAGGCTAAGCGTGGTGGCTCATGCCTGTAATC